GGAAGAATTCCTTTCCTGTGACAAATATTGGCGAGTCAACTTCGTTCCGCTTTACAGCTGAAATTCACTGCTTGCGTTCATAATAGCGCTCCTAAACTCCTAGATTGCGCCACAACACATACAACAATATTTGTCATAGGAAGAATCTTTCTATGAACAAATTTAAAGGTGTCATAGGAGAGGCTATATGCGTATGTTCGTATTTGTCATAGATGCTGAGCAGAACATGTTGGCATCTGTGATGGCACGCTAAACCACCCTCGATGTCGTAGATCCTTATTAAATACTAATTATAATATGATTTGTAATTAAAACGTAATTACGGATAAAATGTGTATACATGCGACCGAGTGAGTCATGCTTCCTACTATCAACGGTGGGAAAAATATCGATAATAATGATTGCTGATCGATATCATGAATTATCGATTATGATTGGCAGATATGTTTCATCGGTGCATATTCTCTCTTTGTGTGTGTGTCTCTCTGTCTTTCTCTCTCTATCCTCTCTCTCTTTCTCTCTTTCTTCGCTCTCTCTCTCTCTCTCTCTCTTCTCTCTCTCTCTTTCTTTCCTCTCTGCTCGCCTCTCTGTCGCTGCTCTCTTCTTTTTTCATGTCTCTCTCTCTTTTTTTTCTCGCTCTCTCTGACTCTTCCTCTTCTCTCTCTCTCTGTCTCTTCTGTCTGCGCTTTTTCCTTCTACCTTGCCTCCCTCCCCCTGTCTCTCTTCTTGCACAGTCTTTGTGTCCTCTCTCTCTCTCTCTCTCTCTCTCTCTCTCTCTCTCTCGTGGCTATGTGGCATTTACTTCCCTCGCTAACATTGCCACACGCTCTGTGAGCTGCATCACAATCAGTCTGGTGGCGCGTGAGCTGGTTGCTAAATGTCTGTGTGTGTCAGGGTACCATCGATCCATCCTTCCCTTCACCCATGTATCTACCCGCCTACCCATCCATCTATATACCCGTCCATCCATCCATCCTCCATCCGCTCCCTAACCCATCCACGCGGTCTGTCTCTCTATGCTTATAGTCCGTCCATTTATCTATCCGTATATCCAATCCATACCATCCATTTAGTCTACGCGTCCATCCATCGATCCATCTATCCATTCTATCTACCGGCTGTCTCTCTATCTATCTACCCGTCCATCACCATCCATCACGTCCCTACAAGCCCATCCACCGTCGTCTCTCTATCATATATCACCCGTCATCCTCCATCCCCATCCATCCATATACACCCAATCCACGCCGTCTGTCTCTCTATCTATTATGGCCCGTCCATCCATCCCATCCATCCATCCAATCCATCCGTTCCCTACACCATCCACCCGTTCTGTCTCTCTAATCTGACTACCCGTCCATCCATCATCCATTCCGTCCCTACACGCCATCCACACCGGTCTGTCCTCTCTACTATATGGCCCCGTCCATTGTTATCTATCGTATATCCTCCATCCCATCTATCTACCCGTACATGCCATCCATCATCCATCCATCTATCTTACCGGTCCATGTCTCTCTATCTATCTACCCGCTCATCCATCCATCCCTCCGTCCCTCACACCATCCACCCGTCTTGTCTCTCTATCATATATGCTCGTCCATTTATCTATCCGTATATTTCATCCATCCATCTATCTAGACCCCGTCCATCCTGGCCATCCATTTATCTACCCGGTCAATCCATCCCATCCATCCACTCCTCTAGATCTACCGGTCTGTCTCTCTATCTTATCTACCCGTCCATCCATCCATCCATCCATCTACCTACCCGCTGTCTCTCTATCTATATACCCCCTCCATTCCATGCCATCTAATCATCCGTCCCTACACCCTCCACGCACCGTCTGTCTCTCTATCTATATACCAGCCGTCCATCCATGCACAACATTCCATCATCCATCCATCATCCATCTATCTACCCGTCCATCCATCGCATCCACCAATCCATCCATCACTCAGTCTCAGCTATCTACCGTCTGTCTCTCTATCTATATACCCGTCATCCATTTCCATCCAATCCATTCCATACCATGCCATCTAGTCTACCCGTCCATCCCATCCATCTATCCATCTTCTACCCGTCCATTCCATCCACCACATCCATGCCATCCCCATTCATCCATCCCATCCATCATCCACATCCATCCCATCCATCCTTCATCCATCCATCCATCGCATCCATCCATCACCCATCCCATCCATGCTCCATCCAGTGCATGTGACGTCGATGTATGAATAGGTGAGCAAATGGAGAGCAGGAGTTGGAGCCGAGATGGGTGCGCCCGTCCGATGGAAGAGCAGGTGACGTGAGCCGACGGATTCGCAGAGAGAGACAGAGAGAACACACCGTCACAAGTGTCAGAGCTATAAATAGACACATAGGGGGAAAAGAGTGTGATACGGATATAAAGATACGGAATGATGCTCCTATGCTCTCTCACCTGCATATTAGTGCACCTCCCAGAATGCATCGCCGCTCTCATTCTATATTTCAGGTGTGGAACTTGCACCGCCAAACGGAAGTCAGGATAGAGAACGGATAGCGCGTACGTATGTTTTGCTTCTGCGTGTACGTGTTTGTATTATGTTCGTTTAACGCGGTGTTATTGCGCGGCCAGATAGCGCACGTGTACGAGGAAGTCAGCGTAATGGACCGTAGCGGTCTAAGGCTGCTGCGTTCAGGTCGCAGTCTGGTTCTCCAGGCGTGGGTTCGAATCCCACTTCTGACAAATACGTACATTTTACACTTCATTCCTCGTTTCTCACGCACGCGCTTACTCGCCACGCGGCCCGCCAGGCGGTACACGCGCCCACGTACACGCACGCTCTTACCCGAACCCGCGGCACAAAACACAAAACACGCGGACGTACAAACCTTTAGCTCTCATTCTCCCTCTGTCTCTTGTCGCCGCTTCCCTCTGTCTCTCTGTCTGCTCTCTCTGTCTCTCTCTATCCCCCATCTCTCTCCATTCCCCTCCTTCCCCCTTATCTCCTCTCTCTCTCTCTTTTCTCTTTCTTCTCTCTTTCTCTCTCTCTCTCTCTCTCTCTTCTTCCATTTCTCTCCTCTCTCTTCGCGCGCTTTCTCATCGCTCTCTACCTCCCTCCTCTTCCTCTCCGCGTGCGTGCGTGTAGCGCGTGTAGGCGCGTGTATGAGGGAAGGCAGTGAGTGGGCGGAGCGTGCTAAGCGGTGCGTTCAGTCGCACTGGCCGCGAGCGAGGCGCAAAGGTGCCACTTCTGACAAACAATTACATTTTTGATTGATTCCACGCGCGTGCACACGCAGACGCATATATGCACGATTAGCGACGCGACCGCGCATACCGTGCACCAACACGCAAACACACGCACAGCGCATCTTTTTGTTAACTTTTTAGGGTACTGCATCGCTTGCGCGACCAGCGCACGCACCACACATAGCTCATAGCAGCAGTGACACGGCGGCAGCGTGGGATAGCGGCAACACGCGCATTACACCAAACCGGCGGCGACAACCCTCGCCCGCCCCGCACACACACGCAGGGAACCGCGGCACAATGACCATAGCAGCATACAACAGTGCGCACGGGTAGCAGCGCACGACTTCGCGCGCTGCGCACACACGCACACACACACACGGACAAGGACACGATGCACACACACACACACACACACACACACGAACACACAAACGCCACGATGCTGCATGCACACGCGCGCCACACATACTCACATGCACACACACGCACATTCACACGCAACGCGTGTAAAAAACAGGACAAGAGAACAGCGATCTTTAGCCGCGACTGCGCGCCACACGAACTATAATTATGTTTTTCCAATATTAACAAAACTACACATTCTGCCTATATGATTCGATCGATGTGCTAAAGCAGAGACAATGCAGCCAAGAAGTATGCATCGCAGCCAGCAACAACCGAGCAACAAACAGGCAAAACAACGAGTTAATAAAATGAATACGAGGAGAAGAGTGGGCAGAGCAGAGTACGGTGTAAGGTATTTTAGCAGGCACTGGGGAGGCGCCGAAAGACGAAGGGCGGGCAGCAGTACGTGCGAAGGTATTTTAGCAGTACGTGGGGCGGGCAGGGCCAGAAAGGCACGAGTAGGCGGGCAGGGCGGCAGAGTACGTGGCAAGGTATGTTTTAGCAGTACATGCGTTAGCAGGGCCCAGAAAGACGAAGGGGCATGGCGGAGATGTACGTGGCAGCGTATTTTAGCCAGTTACGTGGCGGGAGGGCCAGAAAGACGAAGGGGCAGGGGGCAGAGTACGTGGCAAGGTATTTTAGCAGTGCGTGCGGGGAGGGCCAGAAAGACGTGAAGTTGTGTGAGTGGTTGGTCTGAGTCACTGTACGTGTCAGTTGTACTGTTTGTCTGTGAGCGCCGTGCCTAGTCCGTCCGTCCGTCCGTCCGTCCGTCCGTCCGTCCGTCCGTCCGTCCGTCCATCCATTCATCCATCCATCCATCCATCCATCCATCCATCAATCTATCCATCCATCCATCGGCTGTTCGATACAAACCCCACGAGAATCGGTGCAACACCAGAACCGCCTTCGTGCTTCGCACACAAACAGATTATCATCAATAACGTACTCATCACTGACAGAAATGGAGTTGCCGATGCGTATGTACTCATAGCGGTTTGATAACACATGGGAAGACATCGGCAGTGTCACAGCGCGCAACATTGCGTACGGTACGCCTCAACTGGGGGACTTCGCCGAGAGAAAAACAACGAATAGATAAGGTCATAAGCAAAACAATAATTAATGATTTCGTACGTTACCACAGTTTAAATGTGTGGGTGTGTGTGTGGTGTGTGTGGGGGGCATTAGTTTCACTGTTTTCAATATGAAAGTATTGGATACGTGCTCCTCTTTATATATCTATAACAGTCTCGATACGAGGCGGGAACGCAGAAACATGAAACAAACATCGAGTTGCTCATACGCTTCGCAATTATTCTATTAATTATTCGTCGTTCTTTTATTTGCGCAAATAATTCATTTTTGCTTGCGAACTATTCCGTCCGTGTATATCTTTTCGTGATCCTCATATTCTTTCATGTCTTCATCCAAACTTTCAATCAGCTCTGCGGTCAACGTCTCGAAAGCCTGCGATAAGGACGATAAGAACAGATGTGAAATGATGTACAGGTATAGTGTTGGCTGGCGCTAAAATTTCCCGCGTCTGGCACGAAATGTACAACGGTGTGTAAACGCAAAACTTCACGTTTCTGGAATTTATTAATTCAATTACAATGGGCCATATGACACAAGGACAACATCAGCCCGATGAAGTTGCTCTCTTGCAACTTTGAGCTAGGCTTTGTTTATTGTTAACAGAACGGAAATCATATGTAAAGAACCATTAATGTTGTCACATGACGTCACATAACAATTCCCCGCAGTGGAATATAAACACGGCTCGCGTAGCATGGTATGCGTTCTTCTTATGGCAAACTTCACCCCTCTACAATGCATCATGGGCATATCTAGCAGGGTGTATGGGCATAAAGCTTTGACCTTTATTGCCTATGCGCAATGTTGATAGGAAACGTTTGCTATAGGGGGAGGTATAACACGCAACACTCACAAAGCTAACCGCAATTGCTTCGGTCTCACCGATGTGTGTCGAACAGTCGACGATCACAAGAAAGGGTTATAGAACCAGTCTATGTATATCACAAAGAAAATGATAAATCTAGGGGTGAAGTTCTTGCACATTAAAATATGACGATTATTTACTGATTGCAGGAGAGCGCGACCAAATCCGCATAGCTGCATGAAGAAAACTAATTAATTGTAGAATAGGGGATAATAGAATGCGATAAATTTCTGTTCTGTTTCAGCGTAATAATAGCATTGTTTATGTATGATGTAGGATTATTGACCGCCCGTCGACTCGTTGATAATACGATAACATTGCCTAACAATGTTTAGCGTTTACACCCATGCATATAATGCTTATATATTAAACATAATACACATACACAGCACTGATCCAGTTTTAATAATAGAAGGCTACATCCGGGTACCTATATTAGCAACAATTAACCTATCTGAGCAGCGTGATTGACACGTAGATCTAGCCAATCATGGTCGCTATGAGATATTCTAAAGACAATGCCTGCCGACGAAGTATGAAACCCACACACAATCCTGCCTCGCATGGCGGACGCAGGGGGCAGTGTTACGGGAACAATATGCAAGGGTATTAAGTGATAAGTTAATTAAGTGGGTAAGTAGGCAGGTATAATTTAGGACGTGTACGTACCAACTCCGAGAACAGTAGTCTGTGCAGGCTGTTAAAAGGCCACGACGTCAATGTACCAGTTTCCTCGATGTCCTTTTCCACGATATCAGATAATAGGACGGCAAGAAACACGGCTACGAGAGAATAAACATGCATACACGTGTAAAAACAAATATTAGAAACCACATGATATCCTGCACGCGTATCTGGTGGCACCTGCACGCGTAAATTGACAACGTTTATTGAACGCTAAAGATTTATTTCGAGTTCCTGCGGTTCAAGAGATATCTGGAAACTACCTCTGTAATGAAAATAGCCTTTGTGATAACTTTTGCAATAAATTTAACCGATTTTATGATAGAATCGGCGCATCACCCTTGCAATACGACTCGCCCGTTTTCTAAACATAACAGAAACGATTTTATTATGAAAGCTGCTCACTTTTATTGCGAAGGTGGTGAGGTCCTAAAAAGCGGTTAATTTTCGTAATAAAACTGGTGCATTATTACAAAAAGGGGGGGGGGTTCTCTTAGTATTCATTTCGTATATGCGTCAAGCGTGACAGTACGCGTGTACCCATTGACGTTCAGGTGAGAGCTAGAGACTTGCGTGATTTCACACGAGTAGGCATAACATCTTACCGTCCAAGCAATAGCCTCTGTTGTGATCACCAAACGCCCCTGTGCCTACTAATAAACTGGGACACGCGCAAAAGCTACACGGTAACGCTCTTATACTCGTAATTAATTACTCTTAATTACTCGTGTATAATCGTATACATGCACTAAATCCAATTAAGCTCTATTACCATAAAACATGGCATAGCAAGAATTCGATGAAGGTGACCACTGTGTCATGACATTACAATTATAAGAACAAATTCGCATTTATTTAATAATCGACATTCATTTTAATTCACAAGCATTCGGTTTAATAAATTACCCCCCCCCTTTCCTCTTAACCGCCATCCCCTCCCCTCTTCTCCCCGCCCCCTCATCTCTATACGTACACTCCTTTAGCGGGGCGACGTCTTGTAGCTGCGACAGGTCGACGTTGTTAATGTTGAGTACGGTGAGCAGGTAGTCGGTGGAATACTGACCGTCGCTCAGCCGCTTCCTCGCCGACGCTGTACGCTGCTGCCGCGATGCGGCCGCCAGGATCGCGACGATCTACGCAATAATACGGTCGTAAATTACGAAGGAAAGACGAATGAAGGATATGCTAAGAAGTTATACGATGTCCACGCTGTTTTATAACCGGGTAATAGCATGATGCACTGTGTCATGACATGGTTACGCAGCGATACAGCCGTGATGTACACGCCGTTCTATTACTAGGTAACAGCATGATGCATTGTGGTGTAGCATGGCTGCGCAGCGATACAGCCGTAATGTACACGCCGTTCTATTACTATGTAATAGCGTGATGCACTGTGGGGTAGCATGGCTACGCAATGTATTTTAAAGGAAAGGTGTTCGCCGCAGATGACAATTGCAAAATCGCACGCTGCGCCACTTACTGGCTGAACCTGTTCGCGGTAATTTTTACGCGGGAAAAAAGAACACGTATAACAGCACTGCCGGCTATAGAATGACGAGCTCTGATTGGTGGAAATCTAAATCGAATCGAATCAAAGGCTAGCGGACCCAACCGCTACCAGGTCGGTGCGGTCAAGGGCACATATTCCTTACTGAGCCGAAAGCATTGCGATGTAGGACAAGAAGCAGATGATCGATCGATCATTAAGTATCGATGGCTCGCATGCGATCAGCATTCTGTTCATTTATCTGTCGACCTCAGGCGCGCTAAGATCCTTCTTGCGCGAGAGGATTAGTGAGTCGACCGAGATTTGCTGTCGGTGTTGTGGGTGGGCTATCGTACAAGCTCACACGCTAGGTTGCATGTGCGTTATAGTGCGTTATATGTGCGTGGTGGTATACTATGGTACATGGCCAAAATCTATCTTATTAAGAATGCATTTTGTGTGAACTACCTATGTGGTAAGACAGCATTGGTAATGACTCTCGTATAAAACTTTCGTGACACCTTTCGGGTGGTGCCGCTTTAGTAATAAAACTCGGCAGCATTTTGCAAAGAATTCAGCGCTTTGATATATAGAAACAGAATTCGCAATATTCTGCAATAAACCTAATCGGGCGCATTTTTCATACTCGCTCAAGTACTTTTAGAATTTTTTATATTGCAATTCGTCATGTCTGTTATAATATAAGCACTCTAACAACACCTTTTTTAATAAGGTCTGGCTCGTTAATGCATTGCGCATGGCACCCCCATCTCGCTGGCCCAGCAAGGTACCGACACAGTACCGGAGTTCTAAGGGAACACAATTAGAGGGAACAAGGCGCAAGGCACTAGTGGTAAGCAATGGAACCTAACACCACATACCACTAGAAGAACATATTCACACTACCCACTGCATATATATATATGCGTGCGTGTGTGCATGTGCGCGCGTGTGTGTATATAACCGCAAGAGTATTAGGAAGATTTGCTGAAAACCAAAGTTAAAATGCTCCACAAGAACTATGGTTGCCATGGCGACATCTGCATGAGACCGCTCAAACATTTTACACATACTGAACTATATACACGCACATTATATATATATATATATATATAATATATATATTGCGTGGGTAGGCAAGTAGCACGCTTTAATGGCAGCTAGACGTAGCTGGCTCACCGCCCTGATTTTCGCCCAACGGCGGCGCGCTCTCACGGACCCCGGTTCTCGTCGGCCCCCAGCGACGATCGACGGCGACAGTAACGTTGACGATGCTCCACCGGCGGCGCTCATTCCGTGCGAGCGTGTCGACGATTCTTAACGCGTCCTCGCCGCCGACGATACTGACGATGATGACGGCGACGATGACGATGCCGACGATGACGACGGCGACGATGACGATGGCGACGGCGCTCTCGGCGTCGCTCAGCGTGTCGACGTTGCGTCTGCTTGCTGTGTTTGCGATGAACGAGGGAGCGTCACCGCATCCACGCGTATACAGCGAATAAATCACCCACGATGATGCGACGCGTGGATATATCAGTATAGCGGCCCTCGCGCCGGACTGCGTGAATGAAAACCCGCCCAGCAAACATGCATCGCCGCGACCGTTGCTACCTCACACACACACACACACGCACACACGTACGCCTATAGCATGTATTAATGATAATTGCAGTGCCTGTGTGCATGCATGGCATCGCCGTGCCGTAGTTACAAGCGCTAATCATTAACGTGTCGCCTGGTAACACGCGAATTTAAAATCGTTGCGCGTCGTGCTTGCATCACGCTGTGTGTCCGAGAGGTAACCTTGCGTGCATGCAGGCGGTGACGCTGTTTGGAGGCGAAATAACCGCGCGAAAAAAAGTGGCAATTTACAATAAGGCGACACTTTGACATTTTATACATTACCGGGCTTTTTGTGCGGTGTCTTTCATAGGCTGTTAAATTTGACGCGGGAATTTTATATACGGTTTTCTTGGATGCGTATAAACTTACAGTAGCTAATTATATATACTACCAACGATCTACTAACTACTATCTTTACTACTAATGACATACGATAACTACTCTACTACATACGTTTACATACTCGACGAATGCTATCTATCTAACTATTAAGTAGGCCTACTAACGATTTTTACCACTAATGATATGCAACTACTTTACTATATACTTTCATATACTCTACGTATGCTGTATATCTAACGACTAACTACTAACGATTTTTACTACTAATGATCGGGCTCATGTCTATTGTTAGTAACTATCGATTACTGCTTTCATATTCTTCGTCGAAATTCACGGCGTGTGAGATTGACGCGAAAAAGCTTCGGAACACGAGCATAATGCATGTATGTATAGTCACAACAATCAATCGCTGCTTGAAAATATTCCCCAACGACATCCATCCATCCATCCATCCATCGCGTACATGCAGGCGCAACTTTCGGACGTAGAAAAGAAAACGCCGATTCATGAAAAAAGACGCGCTATTATTAGAATCCGTGTTAGTTTCACGCGTCGTGCATAGATGCCGCGTACGCGCGCGCCGCAATTAAAAATTAACGCCAGCAGACGAACCGACGCGGAAGAGCAAGTCAGCGTTAAACGCAGTTGACGCGTGCAGCGTATGACGTCATGACTGCATGTAGCGGATACGCGAGAAGCGGGTTTCTGCGGCGGGGCGTGGGGGTGTAGGAAATGCGCGAGAACAATTCTTCAGTCAAAGCGCGGGATATATTGTAATTTATCGGTCCTGAAGAATTGCAGTTTTGTTGGATAGTCGAAATTTCGCGAGCTCTGAGATTATTGGCACGTCGTAGCGACATTATTTACACGCAATGCATACGTACACGCATGCACGCACGCGTGCGCACACACACGCGCGCATGTACACACGCAACACACATGCTTACCAGTAACACAAGTCAAGAATAGGATTATGTTTACATACAAAGCAGATTTATTACAACACGATCAGTATAATATTTTCATAACATAATAATTCCGTTCAACTTTTTGGCGTGAAAGAAACAGCAAGCGAAGAGCGCGGGTTAAATTTTGCTTCGAGTACCTGACACTCAGTCCGGTAACTAAAATATTAACACTTCAACATGCATCTGCATGATTGTGTTGTACCACCGACAGCTGCAGATGGCTCCAGTAGTGCAGCAATATATTAATAACTATATTAATCAGGTCTACGCAAGCTTACAACTGTTCCGCTTTAGATGACAGTCAGCAACAACCGCATCAAATAATCCTTACCATCATCTCTCCGTCTGCAACACACTACCGCTTGTACAGCGCGACTCGCACGTAACCACGCGCAGATCTCTCACCAACGACGCAATCTTGCAATTAAATAAGGGTAACTAATGATAATCTAATTAACCTAGTACTTCAACTAGTTGCGCAATCACATAGTCTGGTATTTACAATCACTCATTCACTAAGCACAGAAAGCTTTCAAACGAGGACGGGATCTCCTCACTTGAAATCCCTCAATGACTTTGAAAAACCGCACTCTAAGCTATTATTATTATTATTATTATTTTACAAAAAATATAAACATATACACGATGGTGTATAATTTCACCTACAAGTTGCCACTCGATGAACTTACAGCCTGACATTGAAATACTTGCTAATACTGCTGCCTGTGCGTCTAGTTGATAGCAAGCATACGCAATCTTTATAGACAGATTGTCCTTTGAAAAGCGAAGGAAAATACTACTATAATATTTAACTGATCTTAACACCCAGACGATCGGGTAATGGGAGTACATTGTGTATGCCAATTGTTCACCAAACACGTTCTACAATATCCAAAACGCTAAAAACGCTCAAGACACGCCAAGACGCGTAATACACGTTTGCACGCTTAAACGCTTTAAAACGCACTACAATACAATTTCTCAACAATCGTAGGAAGGTAATTTTTCCTACACTTGCCAACATGAAAAGTTACTGTAGTAACAGGAACAGCTTAGAACCCCAATGTCCCCGGCGCCAAGACACAATCTCTATACGCTTGTCAAATAGTGCCATACGCCTGTTAATATACTCATACATTTTGATTTTGCTTACACACGCGAATAGAAGAACCAGCCGGCTCTCAAGCTCAGCTGTTGTGCTTCCCGTTGCTACATTGATTAAGTGATACGACACATCTACAAGACACGATATAACACGGTGAGGAATCTGTAGAAAATCTTTTCAATGGAAAACTAGAAAACAACAGCCGACTACACGTGCCTGGTTAGCACTTGTGCCTCCCCCTAGTGACGAAATGTTCTATTACAATCGTGAACTCACTAGCACGGGCATCACACGAGCTGAATGAATAACGACATCAAATCGGAGCTCTCTCTTCGTAAACTGCCAGGACAAAAAAACTAAAACACCTATAAGTGTACATAAGAGACACGTACAAGCAAGAGTACCATATTACTGTAATCGTGAACACCGACTTTTACTTTGGTATATTAATTACATGCATGCTGGTTTCCCGCATGACAACTTGACTACGTGAGCTTTTTTCCATCGACGCTTCCCCCGCAATTACACTGCTCACTGCTGACGACCTTAAAATCGCACGAATGGGTGGTTTGTGTATAAAACTCTACGTCACACACCTTCTTACGCACACTTCAGTGAAGAAATTTCAATGATAACAGTACAACAATAAGTGATGTGCAGAAAAATTACACGCCTACATTTTACAACACGTGTGCACTGGGGGGGGGGTAAATTTAGCCATGCCTCTCCTAATTCGCAGTCAACGTGGTACTGACGAGGGCACGAACCCGGGCCGAAGGTAATTACGTCACTCGATCGTGGCAACCGTGATGCAAACGTGCGCGGGAAACAAACAGGGGCGCTGCTCTGCCACGGGAGCGCCGAACGAATTCGGGGCCGAATTCACATCTGCTCGGCCGGCGGCGACCGTGGCTGCAAATATTAACGAAGGAAACAAATGTAGGGGGCGCTGCGCTGCAAGAACGCCGAACGCATTCGGCGAAAATTTCGCATCTCCTCGGTCCGCGGCGACTTCGGGCGCAAACGCGCAAGGATGGAAACGCAGAGGGTGCTCTCCGGCACGCTGCGCCCGGTGGTCGCGTTCGCGCTTAACTCGAGTAGCTCTCGAAGTACTTGTAGGTCGGGTTCTCGTAGCCGCTGTTCTGCATGCTGACGACGTGCCGCTCCTCTGGCACGTCGCGCGTCTCGACGGGCGCGAAGCGCTGCGGCTGCTGCTGCTGGTGCCGCCTGGCGACGAGCGCGCCGACGACGACGGCCGTGAGCACGGCGATGCCGCCAAGTGACGCGAGGAAGTAGAAGCTGTTGGTGTGCGGCTTCGTGTGGCTCGCTGCCTCCTCCTCCATGAACGACTGCAACGGGAGATGGGGAGACGCGATTCACGATACTGTCATGACAACGGCGGCAGTGCTCTAACGTGAAAGGGAAAAGCATGGGGCCGTAGCAGGGGTTATGGTGGAGAGACGCGATTCACGTACAATACTGTCATGACAACGGCGGTGCTCTAACGTGAGATGAGCAAGGGAATGAGAACATGGGGTAGTAGCAGGGGCGGTGGTGGAGAGACGCGATTCACGTACAATACTGTCATGACAACGGCGGTGCTCTAACGTGAGTGGGAAGGGAACAGGAGTCATGACAGTGGAAATCATAACAGACTACCACACTACCACAGATTAACATAGGGTGGTGGTAGGGGCAGGGAATAGAGTGATGGTGGGGGTGGGGTGGTTGTTGAGGTGGGGGTGGTGGATGTAGATAGTACCATTTCCAGGGGTCTTCGTATAAAAAATACACAATTTATTTGTGCCATTTCCCAGTTACGAGCAATTCCCTAGTTCATTTAAACATTAAACGTCTTAATTTAAAAAAAGTTCATCTGGTATTTCACAGTTCCTGGATAATCAAGACGGCCTGATCTCGTGTCCCTAACAATAACCATCCACTCGAAAGAGACGTGGGCGCTTAAAATGAATCACACGATTAGTAGAGTACCGGGTAAGTGTACCGTTTGCTAGGTAGTTCCTCTGGAAAGTATCACGATACACATCGCATTGTGAAAGGTGTATCGAAGCACGGATCGTATCCTAGGTTACTTGCAACATCCAACCCCCTAATATTCCGCACGTCGATTTACGCATGCTTTTCTCACCTGCTCCACATCAAACAGGTCGTTGCTGTGGTGGGCCATCTGCACCACCTCGTTCGCGTGCACTATGGCTTCCTTCACGGCTTCTTTCTCCTTCTTCGCAATCTCGACGATGGTCTCCTCCACGTGAAGCTCTATCTCCGGCTTCTCGCTGGCTTCGGTTGTCGTCACGGCATCCTCCTCATCCTCGTAATCATCATCATCTTCATCGTAGCGATTACCTGTAAAAGAGCATGAGGTGAGATCTTCTGGGAAAGTACTAAAGGGTGGATATATATATATATATATATATTTGTGCCCTGGTAATGGGAAGCGATAGTGTAGTTGTTCAATTTTCTTATTGGTTGAAGTGTGTGAGTAAGGAAACACGAGAATCGATGCAGACAAGTGGTCAGCATTGCAGATACGTTAAAATATAGAGAAGCAGGGAACATAACAGAACACACAGTGCAAAAATTGTGCTGGTAATAACATAATAAAATATACGTACCAGTAGTGATATCCTGATTTTCATCTTCATCTTCAGCTTCATCGTAGTAGACGTCATCATCATCATCATCATCGTCATCATCGACATCGTCATCATCATCATTATCATCATCATCATCATCTGCATCTGCATCTGCATCATCTGCATCTTTCTTTACGTGGTCTTCACTGTCTATAGCATCATTGCTGTCATCAGCTGTGGTTGTTTGAATCGTGGTATCATCATCATCGCTCTCACTGGAATCGTCACTAGCAATATCCTCCTCTACGACTTCCTTACCTACAGATAACAAAAATATGTTGCACTACCGACAAATATACCAAAATATACCAATATAATGTGAATACTAAGTGAATTAAGCCAGGCAGAAAGAACGAGAGAGTGTGGTAGAGGTAGAGGTAGAGAGAGAGAGAAAGAGAGAAAGAGAGAAAGAGAGAAAGAGATAAAGTGAGAGATAAAAAGGGAAATAGAGACAGATAGAAGGCGGGAGAGAAAGAGGGGAGAGAGACTGAGCAAAGGAAATACACGTATGATTACCATAAACTACAATAGTTTATGCCAAAGGTGAGTTAGGTACACGAGTCTCCAAACTTACGTTTTTCTGCTTCGATTCAGCCACCTCATTCTGTACTTTCGACAAGAGAGACGTCTGCCGGCACCCAGACGCTACCATCTGCAAACTTCACATCCACCTCTGTATACTTGAAGTCTTCAACGAGTGATTCTGCAGGAGAAAGAAATCAATCGAAATTACTTCTTAACGATACTCGGATTATAATATCACAAAATATTCTAAACTTGTTTCTAACCATCATGCACGTATATATCCGTAGCCAACCGTAGTTTCATGCATGCCCTTATCATAGACTTCTGGAGCCCGTTCTCAGAAAGATAATTATTCTTAACATTTGTTACGCACGCACACACGCACGCACGCACGCACGCACGCACGCACGCACGCACGCACGCACGCAAGCACACGTCCCCACGCTTGGATACACGCAGCGGGAACGCACGTGCACACAGTCATGCAGACAGGCACGCACGCGCAAGCACGCACATCAGATGCACTCACCAACTTGAGGTGCAATCTTTCGGGCAATCTCGGGTAGTTTCTGCAGCATGGCCACGCTCTGGTTGATCCTCTCTTCAATCTTCACCAGATGTGCCTGTAAGACACCAACAACAAACATGAGTAACACATCTAGTGACTCCAGACCACGTATCTGAAACTATCAACAAGATTCTATCACTGCAGGGAATATAAAGTTGATTCATTGTATCATTTTACAAGGAATATTGTATGATGACTATATCATTCTATAAGTGAAATTATTTTATATCTGTATAGGGATTATGAGCATGACTACACGAAAACGGAACAATAAATAAAGTATTTAAACTGTGAATGTCAGGAAATGAATGCACTTGGCAGAAGCAAGGGCTAGAGAGAATC